GTCCCCTCTTTTCCAAGCTGAAAAGTCCTAGCCTCTTTAATCTTTCCTCATATGGGACCCGTTCCAAACCCGTAATCATGAATTAACCCCTCTTCTCCTCCCCCCAGCACAGTCGGGAAAATTGATATTAAATCATTTCCCCTAATGCAATTGATTATTGACAACCCCCATTTGTCTCTATGGTTTTTCCCTTTTTTGCCAGGTTTGTCCTCCTAGCTTAAAAGTATCCGTGCAAAGTCACACTTTGCGGGGGTTGGGGGGGTGAACCCTGGCATTTTTAACGATTTAATGCAGTTCTCAATGGCTTGTCTCACCCTAACGACAAGCAAAGCAAGGCAAAGGACGGCTTCTCTTTTCATATGCACACAACATGCAAACGTGGAGTATTTTAATCTATATTATATATATAAAAATAATTCCTAATCAACTCTTGCCAGATTCCCCAGACTTTCAGTTATTAGCAATTCTCTTTGGAGGCCCTTGGCAATTTTACTGCATGTCAGACAGATAAAAGATTCTCCGGATCAAGCGTTATTAACACATTTTTGTGATCCTTTAACACTTGCGCCTGTAACTCTTTGGGCGTAAGCAGCGATTTGACTAGCGTCGGTGGGCATGTGCAATTCTGATACTTTGAAGCTCTTTGAGGGACCCGATCCTGAGGCCCTTCCTTGCCCAAGTACGGGGGTAGGGGATCAGCCCCTAATTACTACATTGCCTACCTATGTTCATCAAAAGCATTCAGAGACTGTTCAGATGTTCCAGTCTTCAAACCTCGAATGGACACAAAGAAAGCCACCGTCCCATTAACCTTCTACCCCAGATACCAGCAAACAGAGTCGGGGCAAACTCTCTTTCGCAGAGTTTGAGCGTCACGTGAGTTCTAGATCAGAACTAGCCCTGAAAACTAGAACTCGGGCAACCAGCTGCAAGTAGGCGGCGAGTAGACAGAGAACGCCATGCTCTGTCCTCAGGGCAGACACCGCATTGTCATCCTATCTTTGGATTTCTGTCTCCAAAGTAAACCGTGTTCCACAGCCTATTTCCCATAACCGAGCTCTGAGTAATTAGTCTGGAAAAACCAGGAAGCCTTTACAAATACGCAATTCTCATAGAAAACTAGCGGAGAGTCTGTGCTTTAGATAGGTTAGATAGATTAGATAGAGAGAGGGGGGTGTATGGGG